GGGGAAAGGGGGGATAGCAAGAAATAGGGGATACTGTGTTTACCAGGGCACCCCTTGGGTTACTAGGAACAATGGCCATAAATTGATGGATTTAGATTAGACATTAGGAAAAATTTCTTTATGGTGAGAGTTGCCAAAATGTGGAATGGGCTTCCAAGGGAGGTGGTGCTCTCCTTTACCTTGGAGGTCATTAAGAGGAGACTAGACAAGCACCTAGCTGGGGTCATCTGACTCCAGAGCTCTTTCCTGCCCAGGGTAGGGGGTCAGACTTGATGATCTACTAAGGTCCCTTCCAACCCTAAAATTTTATGAAATCTATGAAATCATTGCTGCTTACCCTGATTCATGGCTCCAGGTTTGCTCCAGATCCTCTTTTCCTGCCTCCTTGTGCCTACCACTTGGAGGCAGGAGCTGGCCTGATGCAGTGGTGCATGGATCCTGCCTGCAGTGCTGGGAGCCCTGGGTGGCAGCAGGAGCTGGCCTGGTCCTGCTTGAAGGCCCATGCCAGCAGATTGGGCTGACTCAGTGCACCAGGTGTAGCCCTCAAGTTTCAGGTGGTGCTGTGCACCACCGGGGGGGCTCTGCCTGCAGTGGGTCATGAGTACCCCAAGGGCCTGTTGCTGGCTCCTGCTGTTGCTGCCAGCAGTGGGGGCTGTGTGCCGTGGGGGTGGGGGGGCATGTAACCCCCCCCCAAACTCTCCCCATGAACCCCCCACCATCCACCCACAAACCCCACCCCCAGTAGCCCTACACCCACAAACCACCCTCACAAACACCCCACCCTCACCCACATACTCACCAACAAACCCCACACCCATGAACCCCACCACAAGCTACAAACCCCACCCACATAAGCCCACACCCACCCCTACATCCAGACACAAAACCCAAACACACCCTACCACAAACCCCACACCCCTTCCCTACCCCTCTGCGAAACTGGAAATCCCCCCTCCCCCCCAAATCTCACATCCTGCATGCCCAGCCACCAGATGGGGTAGAACTTGCTGCCAGGAGCCATGGCTGCAGGGGCACATGCCACACCGCAACCCTGCCCTGTGCCCACAGCAGTGCTGAGACATGTGGCCTGGTGGGGCTTCTGGTCCCAGGAACCATTTGGGGGTTATGGTGGGCTGGGGGTAGGGGTGGAGGTGGTAGCAGGGTGGGTGAAGGATGGGGGGGATTGAGGTGGCAGTGGAGTGTGTGGGTGCATGTGATGGGCCAGGGGTGGCACCAGGGGTGTGTGAGAGAGAGAAAGAGAGATGGGGGTGGGGAATGGGGGAATGCTCTGGAGAGGCCACCAGAGCTGGGCTTGGAGCCCCCCTGACCTCCTGGCTGGCTTGGAAGGGAAGAGGCTTGATCAGACCAGTCCCGGAGCCCCAGTTGAGGGTTTCCCAGGAACATTATGGGGATCCCTGGGGGCCTGGGCACATGCCACCTGTGACAGCATCCGCCCCCTGGGACCTGCGGCCCCATGTCTGCATGCCTGTTGGACCTGGACAGGGACTGCACGGCCACATGGGCTGTGGCATAGGCATTGTATCAGATCCATAGGCACCTCTGGGCAAGCTGCCAGTGAGCCAGGGCTACAGTTGGGCTTCGTGCAGCACTGCTGCCATGTATGTCCCCTCCCTGTCATCTGTGCAGCTATTGCCTGGCAGATGTGTTCATTGTGGTGGCCCGCTTTGAACTAAGTGTGTTCTCCTGGCCCCAAATGACCAGGAGGTAATCCACCTTGTTTGCCCTCCAGCTGAGTCCTTGGTGCTGGCCCTGGGCAGGATCGTCTGCCTGGGTCCCACCACTTGCCTCACTAGCAGGAATCCTGGTGTTCCCTGTTTCAAAATTGCACATTCTCTAATAAAAAAATCTCAAATTCATTCTTTAAAATACACAAAAATCTATGTTCTTGCATGATTAAAATGAAATGCCACTAGAGAGAGTGAGAGAGAAGGAGGTCAATCAGTTGGACAATGTTTTACTGATATATTTAAAGCAATTTGGAAACCTACCAGTGTTCCTCTATCGTCATCATAAAATAAATTCTAAATATCTATATGCTTTGGTGTTGGCTTTTGGCTTTTTTAACATAGAAAAATCAGCTCTCCCTGTCCCCTTTACTAATCAGGATGTGGGGACAGCTGCCCCTGCAGCCACAGCTCCTGCCAGCAGGTCCCATCTTGTCTGGCAAATGGGCATGCAGGGTGTGAGATGTGGGGAGGATGTGGGATTTGCAGGAGGGAGTGAGGAAGGGGTGTAGAAGGGTGGGTATGGGGTTCTTGTGTGTGTGTGTGGGGAGAGGTTCATGCGTGGGTGTGTGGGAGATGTGGGTATAGGGGAGATGTAGGGCTCATGGGTGGGGGTGTGGGTGATGTGTGTGCGCACCTTTAAAAAACAGCCACAGGTGGTGGCAGGAGCTGTCCTGGTCTTGTTCAAAGGTGTGCACTACCGGGGAGGGCTGGGCCAGCTCCGCTCACCATGTGCAGACTCCAGGTCAGGTGGCGTTGCACTGCTGTGGGGCTGTGTCTGCAGCAGGTTATGAAAGCCCCGATATCCCAGCTGGGTGCTGCTGCCAGCCCCCGGTACTGAGTGCCTGAGGGGTGTGCGGGCCGGGAGCGACCCGAGCCCTTTTCCGTGCTGCACGCGGGCTGTGGCCAGCAGCCCGGGCACGCCGGGTCGGAGAGGGAAGGCCGTCGAGCTGGAATTAGGCACAAACGCTTAGCGGTAGTTTAAAAGATTGTTTACTTACACCGAGATGGCAGTGGTGTAGGCTGGAAAACTTGCTTGAGTTGCGGTTACAGACAGACAACAAAACAAAACTTGAACCTGCAGGGCACGAGGGTACGTCGCAAGGGGTTTTCGGCGACGGAAAGATGCAAAACATGAGGGTACGTCGCAATGGGTTTTCGGCGACGGGAAGATAAACCTGCAGGACTCGAACCCGGGTAGAAGAGCTCTGAGGTCGGTTGTCTGGCAAGGACTCACACGAAGTTTGCTAGGCTCCGTGGGTCCGGTTCT